AAAAAAAGCAATCATAACATTTCATTAAGACCAATAAAAGCAAAGCTGCTCTGGTTGATGTGGGGATGGGGATGGGGGCACCCAATATGTCTCAGTATGGCCCCTAGACTTCATACGATTTTAGGGCATTACCCAACCCAAGAGAAGAGGGTCAGACTAATGACTTCTCCAGTCCTCTGTAATCCTTTATCAATGATAAACTAGCCTGGCTTTATAAAGATGTATCTATAGATTTTTGCAAATCTCCAAATTAGTCAATACCACCAAAGTGTATAATTATTTTCACTCCCCCTCTAATAGAGCATAATTTTATCAGAGTGACTGCACATACAATAAGTAGAAAACTACAAAAATGTCCTGAAATGACGTGCTGGGTAATTCCCTAGGCTCACTTGTTATCTATGTGACTTGTTTCCTCACATCAACCTTGCATAATAATGTAACTGTTCAGATAAATCCTTTTGCATAGTCTTTTATATAATCCCATTTTGGTTTAATGTTGGGTTTAGTATTTCACTTCTAAGTATGCAAAGGCATAATGGAAACTAAATACAACCCATCATTTCTTTTTCAACATTAGAATTATGATGGAAACATAGTCAATGATCTTGTGAAGTTCGTGTTTCAGTTCTATATGTCCTATTAAGGTATGATGGAATTCTTGAATCAATGAAATAACAAAAGTGAAGAAATTAAGGATATCCATTGAAAAAAACACACACTTAAATACACGAAAGTAAATAAACATAAAGGCATTCTCTAAGGAATTCAAAATGCTTCACAGATGACTCTTTATCATTCATGTTAATGAAGGACAGATGATCTTCATTTTAGTTAATGGCTTTAATTTTCCACCCTGCCAAATTTTTTACTGACCCGACTGCTAAGTAATTTAAGCTTAGTGTCCTCTTTCTCTCTTTGCATCATCCTTTGAAGGGAGACTTAGTAAATAATAAAAACACACAATTGGACAACAGGTCTAGAAAGGGCAAAAAATGAAATTCTTTTTTTTTTTAGGAAAAAAGAAATTCTGAATAGTTTATAATTTGTATCATCAATAGGCGACTATCCTATTTAATCTCATGATTCTCTTGTGAGCTAAAATGGGAAAATACAATTTGCTAATAAGGAAAGAGGTAAAGAGGATATATTCACTATGCAAATTCCACATGATTTATCCAATGTCACCCTGAGCTAAAGCTCAGCATAGAATTGAATGATTATTGAGATAATCCAAACAGAGCATTGGATTACTAAAGAAGCACCTGGATCTCCTTCTTAGAAAATTTAAAAATAGGATTGGTGCTCATGCTATTTTTGTATAATTTTTTCAAAGGTATGATTATTAACTCTGGGGAAAATAACTTCTTTTAAAATAGCATCTGATATTTCAGTTCAAATTAAAAATTCTTGTTTTTTGTCCTATTAGACGCAAGACACTGTGTTGTGCTGGATAGGTGCTGAAGAGCAGCAACACACAGACCTTACCTTCACGGACGTTAAAGGAGGGAGTGATTACATTCTGCATGGAGCCTGATAGAGATTGGGTAGTAGGTAGGGTGATGATGAAACAAGGCTGGGCATGAACTGATAATTATTGGAGCTGTATAATAGGTACATGGGGGTTCTTTACATTATTTTTTCCATTTGATTTTTTTCATAGTAAAAAGCACTTCTTAAAAAGGCTTTATGGGAGATACAAAATGGCAGAGTAGGCAAACACCATGCCTGCATCCTTCCATGAACACATTAAAATTACAACTAAATTATAGAAAAATCAACCTGGAGAGCCATCTGAAGTCTAACCAAACAGAAGTCCTACAATTAAAAATATAACAAAGAAGCCACATTGAGACTGGTAG